ATATCTATTCAATCAAGGATTTTGTCTCTTGATTTTGTTTTCTAGTGTGGATTGTGTTTTGTCTTGTGATAAACTCATTTTGTACATAATTTTATCCTCACATTTAACACATTTTTTTTAACTTAAGAGCAATTTTTCATCTTATTAAAGAATATTTTTCAATTAAAAGTTATATTTTTATGTTTAAAGTAGTAAAATTGAATGGGCCAAGAAAAGATAAAAAAATGTTTGATTTCAACAAGAGATTAGTTATATCTTCCTATTGGAATGAAATTTTAAGTTGGAGCAAGAGAGAAACGTGTTCAGAATCAAATTTCAAGCAAAATGGTTAAAAGAAACCGAGAGGACGACAAGCGACCAGGTAGGCCGCCGCCTACTTAGCCGCCTATCGACATGGTTCAAACAGTGAAGATCGTGCAGGCGGCGAACCCATGCTCTGGAGGACAGATTGGGCTCTGGCGGTGTTGTACCCCACCATGCATCACCAAAGGGTAAGCAAAGTCAGGAGTTAATGCTTAAGTGTTATAATACTTATTGGGTTGAATTCATTCCTTTTTCCCATCAAAAAGCCCAACCAATAACCCTTACTGCCCAAAGCCCCCCTAAGCCAAACCATAACCCACAAACCCTCTCCCACAACATCCAAAATTATTTTATCTGCCCAAAACAAAGTCTTTGTTATTCATTACTAAGCCTAGGCCGAAGGTGAACAACAAAAGGCAAAATAAAACCTTTGTTTGTTTTTTTAGACATGATAATCGATTATCTACCATAGATAATCGACTATTGCTTACCTCTGAATTCTTCTAACGTATTCCTGCAATGCTCCATAATCGATTATCTCCCAGTTGGAAATCGATTATCACTCATCTTTGAAGATATCCAGTTTGGAAGCCAGTCCTTGTTAATCGATTAATCTTGAAGTGTCAATCGACTACTGGATACCTCTGAAAATTCTTGGTTTAGGAGACATACCTTGTTAATCGATTATCAGTAAGAGATACTCGATTATCACCTGTCTCTGAACTTAGAAACCAAAGTGGTCTTTGATTTAACAGTAAAGGTTTTGTCATTTAGGAACACACTTGGCTACATATCATTCCCACTATATATGGACAAAATTCACATGTTATCATTCAACAAAATCAAAGACTTTTACAATACAAAACAAAGCTTAATCCCTCATCCATGTGCCTGCCCAAAAATTCTTTGATTGAATAGTAATATCTTGTCCTATTACTCACTAAGAGTCAAGCCATGTTGTTTCCTTTATTCCCCCACCTTAAGGACGCAAATCATTCATTAAGACCACCCAAAATACATGCCAAATCCCTGATCATTAGCCTTGAATTCAACTCATTTGGGATATTAACACATGCACAACATTTGTTTTATTTTGTAGGAAAGAAGTGGGAAGTTTCCTTTGCTGTATTTTATTTATCATGTAATCATGTTTGTTGTATTGTTTCTCCATTCCATGGCCTATATATTTCAGCCCTGGTTCATTGTATTGATCAGCTTGTAAAAATATATTGTGATAATATAAGTTTTCTTGCTCAGTCTCTCTCTAAATTCTATATATTAAATCCTAATTCTATATCTTAAGAGTGGTTCTCTTAAGTGGGAGATTTAGGTTCTAGATATATTAAATAAGTTGAGTGATTCCTTATTTAAATACTAGAGTTTAACCCGAGTGAAGATAAGTGTGTGTGATTCCTCTTATTATTCACTTGATAAATGCTTCTTTCCCTCTCCTTTGTTCTCTCCTGAATTCAGCCTCCCCTATATTTCTACATCCTTCTCTTCTTCTTTCTCTTCTTAAATTGATATCCTAGACTACCCCGGGTCTCAGGTACAACAGGCGGGCTAGCAGGCGGCCGCCTACTTGCCCACCTGTCGACTTACGAGAAGCTTCCAGCATTCCAGATTGTTCCAAATCGGTGGTGGCGGGCTAGCAGGCGGCCGCCAGTCTACCCGCCTTTGAAGTGTGCTCGGGTATAAATACCCCACTGGGCCATTCCCTTCACCATCACACCAAAAATCCATTTTCTTCTCTCCTTTTGTACGATAATAATTTCCCATTTGACTATAATATCGTTGTTGAGCAGTTCGAGATTTGTGTTTTAAGTCTCCAACACTTGTAAGCTTTCTTTTGTACTTCTCTTTTAATAATATAAATTAGTGTTTATATTATACTCCCTTTGTCCACATTTAAAGTTTCCGCTTTGACTCGGCACGAAGTTTAATAAAAGTTAAAATTTACATTGACTTTCCCAAAATACCCCTCAACCCTACCCACAACTCGTCCATATTGACTGCCTAGGCCTGTCCCAAGTTCCTGCAGCCCAACCCCATCTTTCCACCAGAGAGAAATTCTGGCGATCAAAATCCGGCGAATTTCCGAACAGTGTAAAATTCCGACGACCCAAACTGAGCATCCTGTTCGCGCACTAAGGTGTAAAAATCAAAGAGATAAGGAGATGAATAAGATGAAAAAGATTTGAATCGAATTTCTTCATCAACTCCGAAGAAGATGATGGAATAGATCTGAAGACGGTTCTTCTTCGATTTACAGATCTGAATCGGTTTTCTCAGATCTGATGGAGAAGAAGAAAAAGAATAGAAAGGACAAATCGAAAGGGGGAAGAAAAGGGAGAAGAAAAAGCAGAAGAAGAAGAAGAAGAAGAAGAAGAAGAAGAATATAAATGAAAAATTGAAAGGGGGGAAGAAGAAGAAATAAAATTTGAAGGAGATGAAGAAAGGAAAGAAGAAGAAGAAGAAGAAGAAAGAAAAAGAAGATGATGATGATAAGAAACGAGAGAAGAAGAAAAGAGGAAAGAGAAGAAAGAAAAAAGTGGTGGCTGGGAATCTTGGGAAAGGAAAGGGCGGATGGGGAAGGAAAAAGAAAAAGAAAAATAGGGAGTGGGTGAGGAGGGTAATTTAACTTTTTGGTATAAAAAACTTTCCAAAAATAGAAATGGGAAGATTATTTTTGGACGGACGAAAAAGGAAAGTGAGAACTTTATTTGTGGACAAAGAGAGTATGTTTTTCTTGATTGTTATTATGGAATTCTGTGGCTAAATCATCAATAGGTATGAATTGAAATAAAGTTATGAGCTAATCTATTTAATTAAAGTTAAATTAGTAATTTGACTAATAAGATTATTTGTCTAAAATGATATTAACTAAATCTATTAATTAATTATTAGAGATTATTAATCCGGCTTGTCTATGAGTTAGGAAAATAATCTAGCCAGCATTATTTAGACACATTAATGAGGCCTAGAATTAGGATAAGTTAATGAATTAAACTCTAATTAATCAAGAAGCAAATTTAATCTGAGATTATTACCTTAGCCCATATACTTGTTCAATTCATACCTGCCTTCGAATTATTGATTAAATTAATTTTATTATTGCACTTTTTCTGTTGAAACACGGGCTTGTCACGTTTTCGTACTAAAGCCGTGTTCGTTTTTGTGACAGGTTTTGATAATGCCAAACCGCCGTGATCAAGACACAAATTGAATATACAAGGCGAAGAACGAAGATAAGAACAAGAGCTAAACGAAGACCAAGAACGAAGACCATAGTCTTAGTATCGTTGAGTCGGTCCTTATTGTGATCAAGACCGACTCAATCTTTACACCTTGGCTCTTTAGGCTAAAATCTTTTCATTGCATTTCTTACATCATAAAAATGTTTTTTAAACTTGTTTAAGTCATCAAAAACACTTGGTGTTCGCCCAAACCAAAAACCAAGCCATCCGGCGTTCGGCTTTCAGAAACCGGCGTTCGGCATTCGGTTATCGGCATTGGTTTTTGACGTCCGAACCAACCAAGTGGTTTCCAACATTTTATGATTGGTTTTTACTCTTTGGCATGTTTAAACAATTCTCCAACAAAAACACCTTGAAAACCACCTTTCAATTTTGGTCGTTTGGGAAAAACCACATAAAACAGCATAAACTTGGCTAGCCGTGGTTTTTACCCAAATGACGTGGTTTTTTAAGTGTCTCACTTGATTTCTTAGCCAAATACATCAAATAAGTGTTTTAAACACTTGGTTTTTATTTTGGAAAACTTTGGATTTTTCGGTCGGTTTATGCATCGGTTGGCTAGGCCGTGGTTAAGGCAAAAACCATAGGTTTTTGACTAACCATCCACCCAGCGATGGGAAGATTTACCCATCGATGGGTAAGCGGTTCTTTAGCCCAACCAAGTTCCAGAACCATGCCAAACAGCGATGGGAAGTTCTACCCATCGCTGTTAAAGCCTTGGTCCAACATCAACACGAGGCAGAACGACCTTACCCAGCGATGGGAACTTTACCCCATCGATGGGAACCCAGCGATGGGAAGGCTTAACCATCGCTAAGAAGGCATGACCGTTGGAAGTCATTTTAGGCTGATTCTTTCCTTGTTTGGAAGCCAACCTCCCACCCAGCGATGGGAAGCTTGTACACATCGGTTTGTAGGTGACTGTTGGCTTCAAAACTGAAGGAAAATTGGTCTACCAGCGATGGGTAGAAACCATACATCGCTGGGAAGCCAATATCCTGCAGATCCACAATTTATTCAATCCCATAAATCAAGCCAATCACCCCTTTAATGTATTGGTCCGTTGGAGCCTATTTTGGCACTATAAAAAGGGGTTTTTGGGTCTGCTTTTTTCATCAATTCACTTCACAATCCTCATACTTTCATTGCATTCAAACAACATTCTTTTCCATAGCTTTTTAGAGCCAATTCGTGTGAAGTTTGAGTTGTTCTTGAGCGTATTTAGTTTACTCAATATCTACTCTAAAAGAGAGTCTCGTTCTTGAGTGCATTTGTGTTCTAAGACACGTTGAGAGAAAGTATTTCTCTCGTTTGATTCAAAGGAAAGGCTGTTTCCTTTGAAGGGTTCATTGAGGTTCGTGTGACTCGAACTCTCAAGTTGTAAGGGTTTGTTAAGCACCGTTAAGCTTAACGAGATAGTAGTGTAGCTCGAGAGAGTCTCTTGGGAGGCTGGACTAGCCACAAGTTGTGGTGAAACAGGGTAAAATTCGGTGTGCCTCTTACACTTCTCCTTACTTCTCTTTTGAATTTTTAATTCCTGCGATTTCTACGATCAAACGCTATTCACCCCCCGTCTAGCGTTGGTCTATTATTCTAACAATTGGTATCGGAGCCTAACTCGCGTCCAAACTTAACCATTTGAGAGTAAAGCGATCATGGATTCTTCTTCTAGAAATCTTTATGCAGGGATCGGAGAAGGTCAATCAACTTCTAGGCCACCACTCTTTGATGGCACCAACTACACGTATTGGAAAGAGTGGATGGGAATTTATATCCGCTCAACCAACTTTCAGTTGTGGTTGGTCATCAAAAACGGCGAAGAAACGCCAATGAAGAAGGTCGGTGAAAAACTCGTCCCAAAGACCGAGGACGAATTTAATGCCGAAGACATCAAAAAGGTGGAGAACTACGTTAAGGCAATCAACATGCTGTACTGCGCGGTCAACCCCGATGATTATCGCAAGATCTCTTGCTGCACCACCGCCAAAGAAATGTGGGACAAGCTCGAGGTCACTTATGAAGGTACGGACCAAGTTCGGGAAGCCAAAATTGACTTCCTAACGTAGGAGTACGAAATGTTTAGGATGAAGGAAGGCGAAAAGATCGATGACATGTTCGATTGGTTCTCAAAGATCATCAACGACCTTCATTCCCTCAAGAAGATTTACGCCAACAAGGATCTCGTGAGGAAAATTCTGCGGAGTCTCACACCCGAATGGAGATCAAAGGCTGACGCAATCTACGAATCCATCGGAGTCTCCAACGTCACCACTGACGGGCTAAGAGGTAACCTCAAAACTTATGAATCTACTATTCTAACCCCTTCTTTGGATGAACAAAAGAAGAAAGGAATAGCGCTCAAAGCAACCAAGGAGACTGTGGAAGAAGTCTCAAGCGATGACGACAACGAGTTCGGACTCGTCATCAAGAAATTTCACAAATTCATGAAGAAGGAATTTGAACGGAAAGGAAGAAAGCATGACGGTCCCCCGAAGTGCTATGGCTGTGGCGAGATAGGCCACATCAAGCCGAGGTGTCCAAAAGGCAAAAGCGGCAAGGACAAACCTGGCTTCAAAAAGCAACGTGCCTATATCTCATGGGGTGGCGACTCCGGCGACGAGTCAACTGACCAAGAAGAGGAAGAAGCCGCCAACCTTTGTCTCATGGCACACGAAGACCACGCTGACGAAGTACAAGAGGTATGTACCCCTTCTTCCGACTCTTACACTTTTGAAGAGATGCAAGAAGCACTTCGAGAGCTTTATGATGAATTTGTTAGCGCTTCTAAAACCAACAAATCATTGAAGAAACGTCTTTCAACTCTTGAAAATGATTTAGAAAAACTAGAAAAAGATAATGAAAAGTTGAAACAAGAAAATAAATTTTATGGCAAAAGAAGCGCTGACAAACCAGAAAGCTCTTCAAGTGAATGTGAATCTTGAAAAGCTTTAAAAGAAAAGGTTGCAAAACTTGAGAGTACGGTTAAGAAATTCAATACACCACACAAAGATCTTAACTTACTCCTTGACACTATGCATTTTTCTAAGGAAGGAATAGGTTTTGATAAAAATGAATCTAAGGATAAAAAAGTTGAGCAAACACCTAGACAACCTCCTAAGGCTCAACATAAGAAAGGTAAAAATCAGGATAATAGAAAATCTAGTCAACCTAAGGACACTAGACAACCTAGACAAAAACCTAGGAATGAAAATGTTCATGTCACACAACCTAGGAAAAACTATCAAAATGAATTTGTGCATAAAAATAATTTTTCAAATAGACAAAATAATGCTAGAACACCTAGAAGAGAGAATTTTCAAAAACCAATATTTTCCCAAAATAGGATGAATATGGTTAGGCCCCCTAGCAACTATTATCAACCTAGTCACGTTTTTGTACTAAAGCCGTGTTCGTCTTTATGACAGGTTTTGATAATGCCAAACCGCCGAGAACGAGACAAGTCATTGAATATGCAAGGCGAAGAACGAAGATAAGAACAAGAGCTAAAAGAAGACCAAGAACGAAGACCGTAGTGTTAGTATTGTTGAGTCGGTCACAATTGTGATCAAGACCGACCCAAACCTCACGCCTTGGCTCCTTAGGCTAAAATCTATTTTTGCATTTATAATATCATAAAAATGTTTTTCAAACTTGTTCAAGACATTAAAAAAACTTGGTGTTCGCCCAAACCAAAAACCAAGCCATCCAGCGTTCGGCTTTCAGAAACCGACGTTCGGCATTCGGTTTTCGTTGTTGGTTTTTGGCGTCCGAACCAACCAAGTGGTTTTAAACATTTTATGATTGGTTTTTACTTTTTGGCATGTTTAAACAGCTCTCCAACAAAACATCTTAAAAACCACCTTTCGGTTTTGGTCGTTTGGCAAAAACCATGTAAAACGGCATAAACTTGGCTAGCCGTGGTTTTTACCCAAATGACGTGGTTTTTAAAGTGTCTCACTTGATTTATTAGCCAAATGCATCAAATAAGTGTTTTAAACACTTGGTTTTTATTTTGGAAAACTTTGGATTTTTCGGTCGGTTTTTGCATCGGTTGGCTAGGCCGTGGTTAAGGCAAATGTTAGAATAATAGACCAACGCTAGAGGGGGGGTGAATTGCGTTTGATCAAGAAATCGCAGGAATAAATAATAAATAAACGAGAAGTAAAGAGAAGAGTAAGAGGCACACCGATTTTACCCTGGTTCACCACAACTTGTGGCTAATCCAGCCTCCCGAGAGACTCTCTCGAGCTACACTACTATCTCGTTAAGCTTAACGGTGCTTAACAAACCCGTACAACTTGAGAGTTCGAGTCACACGAACCTCAACGAACCTTCGAAGGAGACAACCCTTCCTTCGAACAACAAGAGAAATACTTTCTCTTGTCAAGTGTCTAAGAACACTAAAAACACTCAAGAACAATACTCTCTTTTAGAGTTGATAATGAGTAACTAAGAACGCTTAAAAACACAACACAAGCTTCACAAAAAGCTATGAATAAAGGATGAATGATTTGCAATGAAGGAGTAGAGATTGTGAAGTAATGTGATGTATAAAACAGACCCAAACACCCCATTTTATAGTGGAAAAATAGGCTCCAATGGATCAAAACATTTAAGGGGTGATTGACACAATTTATGGGATTTGATTAAATTCGGATCTGCTGAAATTCACCCAGACAGCGCTGTCCTAGGCTTGGACATCGCTGTTCTAGGCTTGCGTTTTGAAAAATGGGAAGCAACGGTCATGCCAACAGTGATGTCCAATACTCCTACATCGCTGTTTTGGCTGTTGACTTCCAAACAAGGAAAGTTTTAGCCTTAAATCCCTTCCAACGGTCAGGTCCCTACATCGATGGTCAATACTTGAACATCGCTGTTTAGGTCTGACTTTGAAGGTGGAGTTCTGGCCTGACAGCGCTGTTGCTGGGTCAACATCGCTGTCCAAAAACTTTCTGCCAATGCACTATATTTTTGGCTGAGGTTGGACAACGCTGTAGGGAAGGCTACATCGCTATTCCAAATGTTTCTGGAAACCCAACCTTGGCTCAACAGCGATGTCTAATATGCAACATCGCTGTTGGAAGACTTAACGCCAAACCATGGTTTTCAGCTACTCAAGCCAGACAGCGCTGTTGGTAGCACCAACATCGCTGTTGGGCTGGTTTAGCCAGACCCATGGTTGGTTTAGTCAGCCGTTAGCCGATGTCAAAAACGTAAGTTCTCCAAAAATAAAAACCAAGTATTGAAAATGTTTGTTTAATGCATTTTGCTAAGAAATCAAGTAAAACATTTTGAAGACCACGTCATTTAGTTGAAAACCACGGCTAGCCAAGTTTACGCCGTTTCGCATGGTTTTCACTAAACGACCAAAAACGAAAGGTGGTTTTTGAAGCGTTTTTGTTGGAGAACTATTTAAATATTCCCAGAAGTAAAAACCAATCATAAAAAGGTGAAAACCACTTGGTTGGTTCGGATGCCAAAAACCAATGCCGAAAACCGAATGCCGAATGCCGGTTTCTGAAAGCCGAACGCCGGATGACTTGGTTTTTGGTTTGGGCGAACTCCAAGTGTTTTTAGCCATGTTTAAAAACTTATGAAAAACATTTTTGAATTTGCAAAAAGGGTTTTGATGAATTGAGCCTAGAGAGCCAAGATTTGGAAGTTTGTGCCGGTCTTGATCACATTAGGACCGACTCAATGCAATTCTAATTCTTTGTTCTTGATTCTTGGTTCTTGATTCTCATGTCATCATGCCATGTTTCTTCGCCTTGGTTTTTGCTCACTTTAGCCTTGTTGTGTCACGGCGGTTTGGCATTATCAAAACCTGTCATAAAACGAACACGGTTTAGTACGACATAGACGTAAACCCGTGTTCCAACAATTTCCCCCTTTTTGATAATGGAAAACAAGACGGGGATATGCATACTAAGGGATATTTGACTTTGAAAAGTATGAAAAAAAATTCCCTCTTAATTTGTGCTTAAAAAATTGTCATATTAAAATCAAACGATCCTGTTTTTAGAGACGTTCCCCCATAGTATATGCATAGCCCTTTTCTTCCCCCTTTTGACATTAACAAAAAGATAAAAGATACCTTTTATTTATTAAAATGGAGTACAACGGATGCGAGTAAAAAAATGACAATAAAAAAGAGATAAAAAATGCTAGGGGCGGCCTAGTCTTCGTCTTCCTCCTCTTCGCCTCCGGTTTCTTCGTCGTCGTCGACGTCCATCTCATCCCCATCGATGGCATCGTCGAACTCATCTTCGTCCGGAGAGCTTGATGGGGCGTAGGAGGCATCATCTTTGTCCTCGTCACCGTACACTTGCCCAAAGAATGTGCCATGGTACGGTGGGGGGACGTAGTTAACGCGTTGGAAGTACGCGTTCATGGCGTACCCTTGGCGTTGGACTGCCTCTTCAAGCCTCTCAAGGTAGCCATCCATCCCGTCAACTTTGAAGTGCATCCGGTTGAGGGAGTCGGCGATGGAGGCGAGGTTAGCCCGAGCCTGGGGTTCGGCTGGGCCAGCAGCCGAAAGACGCCATGGCGCGGCAGTGGCAGTGGCAGGTCCGGCGTTGTCCGACCGCTTCTTGAAGGTTTGGGTGCTGATCGCCCAAATCTTCGTGGCCTTCGTGAGTGGGCCAACGGTGGTGGTCACCTTGAACCGTTCAAGGATGTCCATCACCACGAACGGGTACGGGAGGAGGTGATCGTGGTCGGGGGATGCGGCAATCGTCATGTTGATCATGACAAACTTCGCCCAATTGATTGGCGCCAAGTGCATGATCGCATGGAGGAGCTTGAGGTCCTCACCGGACATGATCGTGTGCCCATGCTTCCGGGGCTTGATGATTCGGGACATGATGTAGAGAAGAAGCCGGCTCTCGGGGTTTGCGGAGTGGATGGTGGGGCGGCCCGAGGCATGGCGGATAAGCTCGGTGATGCCAAGCTCATTGAGGATAAGGCCCTCGTTGTTGAGCACCCAGTCCTCTCCGCCATATTGGGAGACGTCGTCGCCTTGGTAGGGGAGGCCGGCGATGCGCCCAAGCTGCTCAACGGAAAGCTCTATCGGCGTGCTCTTGACAAGAGAGTAGAGCACGTCGCCCTCATGCCGGAGGTTGGAGTAGAAGACCCGAATCAGTGCCGGGTTGATCTCCTTCATAGCCCGGGAGACGAATGGCCAAAGGCCGGCTTGATGAAGCTGCACGTCGAGGTCGTCGTAGCCCTGCAGCTCCAGGAAGCGCTTCGGGACGATCCGTGGGGGAGCAACAACCCGTTTAGAGTAGAAAGTGAGAAAGCGGGTGCGCTCCTCCTCGGAATCGAACCAGAGGTACGACCCATCGCCGTAGTAGAGGCGTTTCTCGGAGGATGTCGTAGGCGCCCGGGATTTGGACTTTGATTTCCCGGAGGTGGCAGCCCTGCTCTTGTCTTTGCCCATGGTGAAGAAATCTCAAAAGGTTAGAGTAGAGAAGATGAAATATGTAAAGATATTGAAGGAATTTGTGTTTGTGTGTGTAAAAGTGAAGAGAGGGGGTCCCAATTTATAGAAAAAAGAGGTTCCCAACGTCCAGAATTTCAAAAATATGGCTGTTGGAGCAGTTAATGCAGGTGCCAACGGATATTTTTTTGAAAAAAAATATCCAGAACAGCATTGTTCCAAAGGCTACATCGCTGTTGAGGCAGCGCTGTTGAGCCTCCGGACAGCGCTGTTGTGCGTCAAGTTTTAAAAACAAGTGTCAAATGGACAGCGATGTTGGGTAACCTACAACGATGTTCCAAAAGTTGCTGAAAATGTGTAAGGGTTTGAACCCATTAGAACAGCACTGTTGGGTTTCTCTACATCGCTGTTTTACGATTGGAGGAAGAAAAAATTTGTAAAAATGGACATCGATGTTGAAAGTGGGACATCGCTGTTTGAAAATTTTCTCGTTTTGGTTGAAAAACAAGGTGTTTTGGGTGGACAGCGATGTTTTAAAAAAGGGGCATCGATGTTCAAAAAGTTTCTGGAGAGTGAGGATTAGGGGACTCCCTGTAACAGCGATGTTGGCCTGTAGTACAGCGCTGTTGGCTAACTTTCTGGTTGACGGTATTTCTATCAACAGCGTTGTTGGGTCTCCTGGACAGCGCTGTTTGCATGGTTCCCCCTTATTTCATGAACGGGGTACCTGCAAGAAAAAGAAAAAAATTCTCCGACGCTCAAGTTAGTAAACGTTTAATAAGTTTAGATGCACAACTTAGATCATCGTGGAGTCAAGGATTCCGAGTTCACTTCGAATGCGGAAGAACGTGTAACGCCCCAAAAATAGGCCTATCAGAATTAATTAATTGATAATTAATTAATTACTCAGAAGGACCCAAAAATATGTGAATTATAATGTTTGTCAATAAATAAAAATTATATCGTTATGTAGAGTTTGACTGTCTGACCGCAACGGTTCAATCGGATTTTAATTCGGAGAAAGTTGGACCAAAAAGTGTACCCCGACTAGGACCAAACTTAGTGTACCCATGGCTTCTTCTACTAACCCTCTACTATAAAACCCCCAAATTGTCCACCATTCTTCATCATTCTTATCCCAATAGAAAGAGCTGAGTGTGAGGAGCGTTTTAGTACTACCAATTTGGTGTCAAGTTGCCGGAGCAAGCTGTGGTGTTCGCCGGAAGTTTCGCCGTCTTTTCACCGGAATCATCGTTTAGCATTAAGGTAAGCCCGTAGATATATCTAATGACTAGAATGTTCATATAGGTCGTTTCTACGTTCATAAATGGTCATTTGGTTGAGTTTTGTGTTTGACAAGCTTGAAGAACTAAGAATCATAAACCATGAAATTGATGTTAAAATTATGAATTAATGATGCTAAAATGATCCATGAACCTTGGAGAACATTTTTATATACTTTAATTGAAGTTTGGTGAGTAAAAGTGACATTTCCGCAAGTTGGCTTGAGGTAGAAGACGATGGATAATCGATTATCAACTTGAAAATCGATTATTCATCGTTCTGCAGATTTTTTGAACAAAGCTGAGCAACAGTCGATTATCAGAATGTGATAATCGACTGTCAGCCCTCTCTGAAGTTTGATAATCGATTATCAGAGTGTGATAATCGATTATCAGCCCATTCTGAATATCAGACAGTAGATTATCAGAAGTGACAGTAGACTGTCTCCCTACACTATTGAAGAAAATGAAGCTAATAGTTAATAATTGAATTTCCTA